ATTTGTAAGTAGTCGAAGTGTACAAAAGACAACTTTAAATTTGATGTTGATCCACCAAGGTCACAATAAATCTTTGAAGATCTATATCACCGTTTTAACATAGAAACTCTACAGGTTAAAGACCTAGAGCAAATAACAATTGTAGCCACCATGACAAATGAATCAATGATAAAAGAGTACCACCTGAAGTTAACGTTGTCGTTAGAAGCACCTAAAACTCTGGCCAATGTCTACTGATAACTAAGAAATATATAAATGCTAAAGCTACAATGGAAAACAACCGAGGTGAAAGAGGCTCATCCCCTCCCTCAATGATCGAGGTGAGAGAGGCTTATCCCCTTCTTCGATTATAAGAAAAGCAAAGATTTCTACAATCCTCTCTTAAAAGGAAGACAACAATAGGCTAAGAGCCCCAGTGGAGAAAGGATCTACACTACATTAAATACCTCCTAATAGAGGATTTTGATTCAAATTGAAAGAATTTTCAACCTCAGATGGCTGAAACAACTAGGATAGAATACAAGGAGAGATCCGACTAAAAGATATGTCTTTCATAGGGACATAGGCCATAATACTGAAGATTGAGTCAATCTGAAAAAGAGATCGAAGCTCTAATAAGGAGAGGTCAATTGAGAAAGTTTGTAGAGTAGCAAAGATAGGGCCAACCTAGAATGGACTACAAACAAAACCAAAAAAAGCCAACCCAAGGCAAAAAGGGAAGGCCAGAAAATGAAAAAAGGGAAGTCTGAGGAGACGTTCCAATTTAAGAAGAGGTCTAAACTAGTAACAACAAGCCAATCGTCGAGGTAATTAATGTGATCACTGAAGGCAACTCCACCTCGACCAAAAAGAAATTCAATCCAGGCATGGTCATGGCAATAGACACCTTGATAAAGAGAGAAAAAGATTGGAGAGATGAGCTGATCTCATTCAGTCCAAAAGATCTTGAAGGAATCCAATACCTACAATAACCCTTCCTAGAAAAGTGATCCCATGAGTTCCCCATCCCTTAGCATAAATTAGTGCTCCATTTTCATCAACTGATTGACCATCGGCTGTACAATGGGCAAAAGCATCAATCATGCAATCGTCAAAAAGAATTCAAGATAAATCCGTCATCCAAAATACTTAACTGGTAGTCATAAAACAATAAACATAATTCTACCGTTTAAACTGTACCTTTATAGCTCAAAAATATAACTCTGACAAATAATGCTCTAATTGCAAATCACAACAATCATATAAAACCAAGTTTCCAGTCTAAATCAATACCAAGGAACGGTTCCAATCAATTCAAAAGTCTGTTTCATATTCAAGAAATTTGTCATGGATTCTCCATGTATCTGTTGGATTCAAGTAAATTGATTTTCCCTTACATAACTACCATCTGATCTTATCAAGAGACTATCATTTTAATCTTGCATACTGCGACAAGATATACAGTACTCAATGGTGATAGAACTTCTAAAACTAGTTTCATGCAAAGTAATTTTGTCCAGTGACTGGTTAATTGTCTCTCGGATGACGAGCCAACAGAAACAATGTCTAAAAATTGAAAGTAAAGAAGGAAAAAAGGTGATTTGGACATTGAATTTCTCTCAATTAACCAAACTCTCAAATAATAGAACCCTGCTATTGTTAGATAAATGTTACTTGGAGTAGCATAGCAATTTATCATTTGCAGTATGACTGACTCTCTGCAAAGATGATCGACCTGTAAGGGTTTTGCTCTTGAGCAGTTCAATTCAATGATGCTTCAGTTATTTTTCACTCAAGCATTTGTAATGGATCAAATATAGAGAATAGCATGATTATCTAATAAAAAACAAACTTTTGTACAATTCATTTCTTCTTTATCTAGGATGCTCTTTCATATGGGCTGGTTATAGTCACTCATAATCAGGTGAATCTCTTAGTGGCAAATAAACCACTAGTTATTTGATGTGCATAGCACATGAAAGAGATTTCTTTTTTACTTTTTTTGAAATTTTTAATCTATCTTTGAATCTCTCTTACTTTTATAGTTACTTGTTGAAAAGTACATTAAACACAAATTTATTCGAATCTATAATTTTTAGACACTAATTTCAATATCATGTCAATTAATTCAAAAATAAATTTATACGAAAGATAAGTTTTAAATGTATAGTTTGATTGAAAATTTTTCACTTTGTATATTTACAGTATTGGGCACGTCTAATTCTTTCGATGACTGCGTTTGGTTCCATATATATAACTAGAAAAATATCAATAAAATATAACAGGACGGCTAGAAATATGCTGCAATTTTCTAGAGAGAAGTGCAGCACCAGCTTGAGCATCGATCACAACTCTCAAGGATTAACATTGTTTTGTCCGATGATTTATGCTCCTAAAAGATTTTTTTTATATAATAAGGTAATTAACACAACTTCCCTCATTTAATCCACACGAAAAGATGTTCAAGTTTCAGCTCTTTCTTCTCCAAGTGCTCGGAATTCTGTTCTTCTCACAGCAATTTTGTCGTAAGTATCTAATGGCATCTGGGTATATGTATCTTTAGGGAATCCTTTTTTTTTTATCCCCTGTCAAATCTTGACTTCAAACAAACGAAAATATTTATCATTTCTTGTCCACAAGTTTTAGTCATAATGCCATCTAAATTTATATACATATGACCATATATGCTTGATTTTCATGGCAGTCTAATGGTTTCCCAGCAGCATGTTCTAAATCCATTGTCTGATATGATTCAGATGGCAAGGTGATGATGGAGTACATTGGAGCCACAGGCGCTCCTGTAAAATTTGACCCTGTTCCAAATGAAGATGGCATTGATTTCCACTTCATACTTAGTTTTGCTATTGATGCTGATCCCTCTGGCAATGCACAGAATGGCAAATTCTCACCATATTGGGCATACACGTTAACCCCAGAATCCGTCGCAGCAATCAAGAAGAGCCACCCCAATGTGAAAGCCTTAGCTAGTCTTTCTGGATGGAGCCTAGGGGATACAGTCCTCCGCTGGTACAACCCTCTCGACAACCAGCTATGGATATCTAATGCCTTCTCATCTTTGAAATCAATGGTCGAAGAATATCATCTTGATGGCATTGACATCGACTATGAAAACTTCCCCAAACATAATTCAACTTTTGCTTATTGCATAGGTGAACTGATCACCCTCCTGAAGAACCAAAGTGTCATTTCTATAGCCACCATTGCTCCATTTCATGCTACAACTATACCTTACATTGAGCTATTTGACAATTATGGAGATGTAATTGACTTCGTTAACCATCAGTTCTATACTGATAAGGTGAGGAAACCAAAAGGATATTTGGAAGCTTTCAAGCTTCGAGCTGGACAATTCGATAAGAATAAATTGTTGCCTAGCTATGAAGTCAATGGAAGGGGTATTCAAGGTGATGCATTTTTTTATGCATTGAGTCTTTTGGAGGAAAATGGATATACTGTTAATGGAGTTATGATCTTCTCAGCCGATGCTTCTTCCTCCAATGACTATTACTACGAGAGGAAATCACAAGATTTCTTGCTAAATTCCACTAGTGTTTGGAAAGTTGTTGCCCAAATTACCTATTAATAAAAGTAGGAATAAATTTTGGCCATAGGTGAGTGCTGCTCATTGCTGTAATTAGAACTATATTAATTTTATATATTGTTAGTAAATTATATAATGTAATTTTATTAATAAAAATATAAATCAAGTATCATTATATATTTTATTGATAATATATCAAATGTAAATTATATAAATAATTAAACTATACGATAAATATTAATTACTTTTGGTTTGGTTTGAGAAATGCATTGATAATCATGGATTCTTGATTTCTCAAAATGCGATGGTATAAGATGATTAGTACTATTCTCTTAGTTTAGCTAAATAATTTTTTTAATTTACTTTTGCTTAATCGATCAATTTTGCTTTATAATAGTAGAAAGCAAAAAGCCCCCCCCCCCCCAGGGAAAAAGAAATAATAAAAGGATAACGGAAACCCAATAAATTACCCTATCAGGCAAGAGAGTGATAAAGATAAAATCCTCCTGCAAGGAAGGCAATTTCACTTCTCCAATTTTTTTTAACTTGTAACTCTCTTAGTGTCCTCAGCAATGGCCTTTGCATCCGTTGACGTTCCAAACAGTCCCCTCCTTTTTATCAACAAAATTGATAAATCTGTTAATAATTTTTTATATAAAATATTTATTATTGGAAATATTCTCTCCATTGTAACAATGACGATTGAACCAATGTGAGTTCCAATAACAAATAAATTAAATTAATAAATTTTTTTAAATTTTATCTTAAATATAAATAATTTTAAATGTCTTTTAGTCTCAGTGGGTCCCTCTAGCCCCAATAGAGCTCCGCCCTCCAAAAATTAACTCCAAAAACTTTACGAAACATTTCCTAATTTGTTAAAATCTTTTTGATTGAATGTTATAATATTAAAAAATGCTTATATGAATTGAATAATTTGGATGAGTTAAGTAACAACTATTTTATTTGAAAGAATGCTTTTTTAATTATTTTAACTAACAGATTTTATTTAAAAAAAAAAAAAACTAACGGATTTTATTCACTCATTCTTTTTTAAATTTAATGTATGTAATTATAAGAGATTAAGGACGTATTTTTGCATCTTTTAATAAAATTTAAAAATTTATTTGAGTGTCGTTGCTTCTAAAAATTAGAGTCCAAAATAAAGTAAAGATTAACAACAAAATCAAAAAAAAATTTCAAAAGTAAAACTGAAATTTTGGAAAAGTCATGGGGCTCGACACCCTCTTGGAATGGTCTTTAGCAAAAGAAAAAATATTATCAAACTAGATTTGACAAGGTGTAGAGCATTTTCAACCTCATATTGTCGGAGTTGCAAACAACGTATATTCAATTTTCTGAAATCAGAAATGACTTCAACTGATCAGATCTGGCTGGATCGCTGCAAATATAGTAACAAGGTCATATATGGTTGTCGGTGAAACAAGAAATGGGTTAAAGAAATTCCAAACTTTTTAAAAAGCGAAAATTACAAATTAGAAACAAAGAAGTTGAACAAGCTTGCAGAAATTTGATTCAATGAAAGAGTTCAATAACTCAAACAAAATATCAATGCCAATAACAACAACACTCTTTCTATATGAAGGAATTTCTCACAGATGAAAATGTGATCAATAATGCTATGATACAAACAAGAACCCTTCACTGACAAACAATGTAAAGGGAGAATTACAACCTGAAACAGATGGAACCAGAATGCATTGTGAACCATCCTTTTATCATAAAACGTCTCGCAGGTACAAAATCATAAATGCTTTACCTGCTTTCGATGGCAAACTGGTGTAAGATTTGCAGTAACTGCAATTTCAACCTGCAACAGCCGTCTCATGTCTTGACGTATTGTCCATGTTGAAATCACTCTGTACAGTATGCGATGTCCGAAGATGGGTAGAAACATTCGATACCAACTCCTAGTAACTTAATCACCAATAGCCTGCAGAGCAGAATTCACGACTGGAAGTCGCAAGCTGCAAAGGTATATTTTGCCTGCTAGTTTTCCTACATTTACATATGCCGATTCAATTACAAATTCCTCAAACCAAGGAAAGACAGGCCACAAACTGGTATCAATCATCCTTTCCCCTCTTAAAAAAATAAAAACAACCTCTGAATCCATTGCATAGCGAATCAAATGTCCTGATATCACACAGCTAGTATCTTTTCCTGTGAAAATCTTCACTAGTCTGGCTTTACCAGAGGTACAACAATGCGGCAACAAATCAAAATCAGAATTCACAATATTCCATTCAAAACCCTTTGATAATAATCATACTGCCTTGTCCGCCAAGCATCTAAACTGCTGCTGATCAGGGAAAGCACCAATGACACGCATTGCTGCAAGAAACCAACAGATACTATCTGAACACCATAAACATGAAAATGCGCTGCTGTGTTAAACAGGATCAACAAAAGCTGAAGACAAACCTCTTCGGTCAAACTTAAATGGAATCGTTTTCTTAAATTTTGTATTGTTCGAGGGCCACCTTTGAAGCATGGGAAACCAGAATCCTAACACACACACACACAAACACAGACAAAAAAAATTAAAGTCAAGTAAATAAAGGACCTTTATTGTTCTATCTCCAGTATCACAAGTTACCTAATATATACTCTAGGCAGCTCAACTTTCTTCTGTTTTACTAACTACATATGTTGTATGCTAGGAAAAATATACACAGGAAGAGTTAAACCAGCATGATACACCAAGTATGGTGCATTGTAATCAAACTCCAGTCTCAGTGACAATAGCAGACTATGCTGTACAAAAGATACCACCACCATCATCCTCTATTATTATCATTTATAACTAGTTAATTATGCAAATATTAGTGATAAGTGCAAGCAAAGTTAACCAGCGACCACTCTGGGAAACTCTCAAAGATCAGAAAGAAAACTACCAGACCATCAGGTCACATAAAAGTATAGTATGACCACCAATAAACTAATAGGCATGTTACCTGCAGCATTTCAACAAGAAGAATTATGCGCTCTGCATGCTTACGGCATGTTAGGAAGCCTTGGATGCATAATACCTGAATTTGAGGGGCAAAGACATCAACACCAATTTAGCACAAGAAGAATCTATAGTACACAAGGTAGACCAGTGGATTTCAGTTGGTAGAGACCAACTTGGTTTCAAATTTACAAAATCACACACGAAATTATAAAGAATTACATAAAGTTTGGACATATTAGTCCTTTAGTGTGTTTTAGAATGTCTTCATCATCCACTTCAAGTTTTCATAATATTTCTCTTCAATAAGCAAGCAACTCCAAATTAATTATGCTAATTTTTGCTACTCAACCCCCCCTCTTTAAATAGTTTTGTTATATACTAGCGTTTAAGTCTCAGTGTACACTATGCTAGCCAAAAACCTATTCAAGAGTGAACAAACCACACAGGCCTTAAACAGAGAAAGAAAGAGTCATAAATACCTTAAAGTAGTCAAAAAATTCACTTGGAACTCCCTCGGCATCAGAATCCATGACCTAGCACACCAAGCACTTAAGGACTAAGAGCAAATCCAAAATGAACTGATAGAATAATATCAGGACCAACAAAAATTGAACTCTAAGATAGAATTTATGTTCAGCAGACTTACCTCAAGAAGTTCACGGGTTAATTTGAATGGTGCACTCTCAAAATTTACACCACCAGGTGAATTGGAGAGCATGAAGCCAAAATCTATATGTATGATGTGACCTTCTTCATCCAGTAGGAGATTTCCGTTGTGCCTATCCTTCACCTACACTTGGATAAAATGGTAAATAAAAAAATGGACTATATAACATACTAGATCATCAAATTTGTAAGAACTTGGTGGATATCAAGGCCAACACTTTTTCCACCAAGAATCAATGCTATTATAATAAGATTTTAGTACAAAAATAAGACCATAAAAGCAATCAGATGGCACTCTCAAGTTCAGTTTCTATGCAAGCAAAGATAGATTAACTATGCTGCTATCTACTCAGAAGACCCAACGTAAATTCATTTTATTTTGATTTGCTTATTTATTTCTTTTCATTTCAAGAGGGTAGGTTACGGAAAAGGAATACCTGGATCGTAGCATAAATGAAACTTTTTGTATGCATTTCACTACTGCCCAACAAAAATAAGCAGTTTACCCTACTTACACGTGTCAATGATTCACAAGGGTGGCTAGAAACTGCCAAATAGACTTAAACCAACAAGTCCAAAGGACAAAGAGTAAGAACTTAAGAATACAGCAGACCAAAAAAAAAAGGAAACGGCTCATATCAAGGAGTTAATAAATACAATGGAAATCTGGACACACTTGGCAAAAAGTCCATATTTGTAACAGAAGAGCTTACCAAAGAAGGCTATTAATGCCCAAGTTAGTTTTTTGGTGAAGTTGCATGATATTATTCACCAGCTATATGAAACAGACCATTAAAACAAGGGAAACCATACATAACTCGCAAATCCCATAAGAGACTACATACATATAGCCACCAGAAAATGCAATTTCCTATTCTTTCCTATTGTTTGAGCTTGGTAACCCAAACATAACAGGAAAGAAAAGTTAACGAGTAAAGAAGGGTAAAAAAAGGAACAAAGTAATGTAAAAGATAAAAGAGATAAAAATGAGAGACTATGCAAGTCATTGGCCAGATAGAAGAGCTTAGAAGGGACAATAACAGTTAGTAGGTCCAAAACCCTTACTTTCAAAATTTTGCACATCTTAAGAAATAGGCAGCACTAGAAAATTTTAAAAACTTCACTTGAGCAGCATTTGAATTTAAATGACAGCTGACGATTAACTCGGGATCCTCTTTTGACCGTTCACTTGCTTTTATTTTGTATTGTAATTTAGTTCTCAATCTTTCTTAGGTATCCATCACAGCAGGGGTAATTTAGCATTCATTACTAAACAAAAAGATTAAGGAAGACACCTTTAGAGGATCATGCCTTGAAATCTGAATTATTCTTGCCTTTACATAACCACCAAGTTTGATGTCCAGAACCAAAGAATTACTTCTAACCTTTTAAATTTGTTTTATTTATTATTAAATAAATTTGTTGTCTTTTATAATGTAATTTAATTCTTCATCTTTCTTGGGTATCCATCAGAGCAGGGGTAATTTAGTATTCAATACTAAACAAATGGATTAAGGAAGACAACACCATTAAAGGATCTTGCCTTAACACACCACCCAGTTTGATGTCCACAGCCAAAGAATTACTAACCCTTTAAATTTGTTTTATTTATTAGACTAGCAATGTAACAGCAAAAACAATGTAAAATCCACTATCCAAAAGACATGCTACATGAAAAATATTTACTTTACTGCCACTGATAATACACCAACACAGAGTTTCTTTTAACAACTGCATTCAATTGATAATAATAGTTATAAAAAAGACGTATCAATGCATGCAGAGAACCTATCAAGATTTCAATAATTATCATAGACAACTCCTTGGTGAAGTAGAAGCTGAATAATTTCTCGGTAGCATTGAAGTGAATGAACATCACTCAACAGAATGAGGGGAAAAGAAAGCAAAAGCAAAAAAATGTGCCTTTAACAAAGAAAGAGTAGCAAAAAAAGTGCATTTAACAAAAAGCAAATGGCAAACAGAATGACTATACACAAATATAAAGTTTCTTTTAACAAGTGAATTCAATTGATAACAGTTTTAGAAAAGGCAGTTCAATGCACACAGAGCACATAATAAGATGTTGGTAATTAGCATAGAGAATGAGCTGATAAAGTAGAAGTTAAACAATTTCTTGTTTGCATTGAAGTCAATGAGCATCATTTAAAACTAGAGTTGGCAAAACTGACCTCAACCCAGAAAAACCATGCAACCCAATACAAACCTAAAAACAACCCAAACTCAAAACTACCTAAATCTGAAACGACTCAAACTAAAAATGAACCAAACTCGAAAGAGCCGAAATGACCCAAGCTTTACTTTTATTTTTTAAAAAACATTAATTAATAAAATGATAAATATAATACAAACTATTAGTCTACTAGGAATATGTCATAACTTTAAATTATCTTCTAAAATATCTTTTCTCCTTTTATATTTTTATATATCTTTGGAGATTATCCTTATTAATTATGAGTAAAAATGAGTAAAATTTCATCCTATTATTATAATTAAATTCAATTTCTACAAGTATATACCATAAAAGTTCTTTTTTTCACTCTTAAGAAATAATAAAATAAATAACTGGAATAGATGGTAATAACTTTAAAAAAAAAAGAAGTAATTCATAAACTAGAAATATAATTGATAATAATTTAATAAAATTAATCTTGACACATTCTTTTTAACATTTTATTTTATTTTGTCTTAAGTAGATATTAGATTATCAAAGACAATAACTTAAAACACAGTTAGAACAAGATTAAAGAATCTTTCTTCATGTCACTTAGAAAAAGTTGCCATTACAAATCATTTAAATTTAATATAGCAAACCTAACTTTTAATGGCCAAAAAACATCATAACTCTTAAAATTAATTAAAGAGAGAATTAAATATTATTTTTATTCAAATTTTCAAATAATTTATTATTTTTAATATTATTTATATTAAAATTTTCAAATTATTTTTATTTTCTACTTCTCAATTAAGTTCTAATATTCAAGATATTAATTTGTAACTTTTGGAGTTATGATTGACCTTGAAAATCATAATCATGGTGAATCACTAATAAAACTCAATGCAATAAAAATGAAAATTAAATATCAACCAATAAAAAGTAATTAATAATTTTTTGGGAGCAAATTGTTAATTTCTTATATAAAATAATCCTATTTTACAAATTACTTTTAATTCACTTTTCTTTTCTTGTTATATAATTTAATGATTTTCTGAAAAATATTTTTTATAATATAAGACATCAAAATGAAAGATATGTTACAAGTTGATGAAAATGTGACCTTGAATAACTTAACTACCATTTAATAAAATCTAGCTTCATCTGAATAATTCGTTCAAGATCCAATTTGATTTTACTTCAAAAGTTAACAGCCTAAACCCAAAATGACCTAAATCCAAGTAATCAGAGTGTCAAACCCGAAATCATCCAAACTTGAATCCACCCCAAACCCAAACCCAAAAATAACCTAAATTTCCTTCGGCCAGAAATCACCTGACCCAACCCGTCCAATTGCCACCTCTACTTGAAACAAAATGAGGCTAAAAGAAAGAAATATCAAAAGAAAAAAAAAATGTTGCATGTTGAGTTACACCAAACAATAAATCCTGTAAGCCAGAGCAACGTAGACATAGCAGCAGAAAGCTACCAACAATGAACTTTCTATTACCAATACATTTATAGTTAAATTTAATAGTATATTAACACATTTAGAAAGTGACATCTGTCATCTCAGCCATCTTATTCAATGCTTAAACTCTTAACAAGTTCCATTCCATGACACTCGTTCCATTTATGAATTGAGCAACAAAATAGAGAAGAGGGAAAACCATACATACCTGTAGAAGATAGCACACAAGGGAATACCCAGCCATACTTTCAACAAAATTTCTCTGCAATAAATATACCTTAAAGTAAGCTATAGACTCATTCAATACGTGAAAATCAGAGCATCTTCTATAGACAAAATAACATCACAATGAGAATAATTAGATCAGTAAGGAAACACACTAACAACATACATTAGAAATAATAGAAGACAACAAAAAATAGCCACAACTATAAATGACTTCTAATTCATCCAGAAAATGCCAAAAATGAAAAAACAAAACATAGGATTTCATTAACTCTAGATAATACACATGGAACACGTGCATGCACAATAATAAGGCATATTAACAGTAAATCCTTCACATAACTCTGGGTAAGTTCAATTATATCAGCAGACCACTGCAAATATTCATCTTTATAAAACAAATGTATACATTACAGCATTCCAAACAGGAGAGATTGATTACCATCCAACAGAACACTGCCAACCAAAGTATCTTGCTCCTACATCCCATTATCACAAAAGGCTTGGATTTGGCCCATTAAGGTAATCACGAAAGATCAAACAATCACTAATTTTATGACTAAAGAAAGCTGCCAACCAAGAGTGCATCCACCTACTTGCAGATATTGAGATAATTCACAAAAATAGAACCCCACACAACACCTTAGGCAGTAAACATATGCTACATGGTAACTACTGTCTGCTGGCAAGATGATTGACTCATGATGGAAGTAACTTTAAGCTTACTCAGGAAAATGATTTTAAAATAACATAAAATTGCAAGTCCAATAGCAGCATAGAAATGAGTGGGAAAGTTTTCATCAACAACCCAAAATTGCTAGAGTCTAAAACAGTACAGAAGAGGAAAGTAACGTGCCTGTCTCCTCTTATTTAACAAGATACCTTTAAATTACTAGAGCATTACAATCACAGCATCTGCAGCTATATGTAAAAATAACAACTCATTCCAGGGGAAAAAGAGAGACAAAAGCATATTTTGACTCCAAATGGTCCAACCACACTCCTAATCAGCTTAAATACAATGCCACAAATTTTAGTAATAAGTTCATTAAATGCAACAATTATTTGAAACATAAAAATGAAAACAGTTGCCTAACAAAAACAATAACTGGATAAACCTGCCTCTTTGCAACTTTACCTGTGCCAGCTTAAAACTTGGAGAATTTTCCTGATACTTAGCAGCAAAGAATTCACGTAAGCTTGATATATTGGGATATCGACTTTTGATAGAATGAAGAGAAGCCTGCAGAAAACATCAAAGCTAATACCATTGAAGCAGCCAAACTTTCCCATCATCTACACAAGCCAGTTAGTTAAAGAGAAAAAGTTTAAATTACCGTATCTGGAATTGTTTCTATAAGAGCTGTGTAAGAAGATGTAACTAAAACTTCGTAAGGACGCAACCAAAGTGGAAGACCGGCTTCTTGGAATATATCTGGCATTGAAAACCATTATGAACACACTTCAACCAACTATAAAAATCAACCAATAACAAGTTCTAAGATCTTCAGCACTGATGCCTGATAATATGGGATTTTTTTCAGCGGGGAGGGGGATTCAACTGATAATAAGGTATTCAACCATGCAATATATATATGTGTGTGTGTGTGTAATTTTTCAGTCTATTCAACAGATGCATTCTTAATCATCTTCTTGCATGAAAAATTATATGTTTCCCCTTGTATAGGTAAAAAAACAATACCCTTCTTTGGTATTATCACATATCATTTTATGATAACATATGATGTAGAAAGAAAACCTGGCTCCAAACGTGGGTCGTTTTAAAGCAACTGGATTGGACAGAAATAAGGGAGAGGAAGCAAATGAGCTAGATAAGTATACAAATTTGTAATAATGGACCATACCATAAAAATGAGAGATAAGCTGCACAGCAAGGTGTTCTTGCCTACAATCATCACCACTCTTTACAATAACCTTCATGATACCGAAAAAAAAGGCATATTCACTTACACCAAACTATGTAATATAGCACATAATACGAAATAAAAAGTCTAATATGGTATTAAATTACATTAACCAAAGAAAGTCAGCATTAGACAAAATTGATAAAATTCAATACCTTAAGCCATCAAATTAAAGTCAATTATACATGGAAAAAAAGGACAGAAAAAGGTCCGATCCAAGGTCGTAAATAAAAGAATTAGATGTAACCCTTACGCATTGATCCAACACCAATTAGTTGTAAATTGACTCATACATATTTCATTGAATACTAATATACCAGATTCAATACTCCAGGACTAGTATCTTTTGGAGGAACAACAAACTTTTTCATGCAATTGAACAAGCATCTTTACCAGCTCCTACAATGGCATTAAAGATGCTAAAGTTTGACATATTACCAATTTCCTGATACTAAATATCCACATCAACAGCTCTACTGGTGACATGGTGCAGTTTCAAGACAGCAATGAAATGAAACTAAATGGATCTGAGGGTCTGTTTGTTTCATGGAAAATGGCTTCCAGAAATTGTTTTCCATATTTTTTTTATTTTGGTTGTTAAAAAGGGCCATGGTCAACAGGAAAATGGCTTCCTGTCAACGCAATAGAGCCACACTATTTTGAAGCTTGTCTTCCTTTGTTCAAAAAAAAGAAGACAATTTCACTTTTCTCTCATGACACAGCCAACTAACTCTTTACATTTCACAGCCGACCCATTACCCACGACCATCAAATACCGCCTACGCAACCAGAACCTTTCCCTCTTCCTTCAATCTCACTTTTCACTTCAACAAATCTCCATTTCTTTCCACTTTCATCATTGGTAATCACAGCCTTTTTCTCCCTCTCTCTCCCCCTTCATCACCAGTTACCATAACCTCTCACACATGAAAGGCTTCGTTCTCCATTTCTCTCCCTTTTCATTGCCACTCCCAACAGCCCCTTCCTACTTTCTCTTATAGACCAAGACTTTTCCATTTTCTTCTCTCCCTGTTTCTCTTCTCTCTGTCTTCCTCAACTTTAACATATGCAAACCCTATTCAGATTTCTCTCTTCTCTTTCCTTCTCAAACTAGACATCAAACACATCTCAGCACTATATCTAAAATTTCAACATCATCACCATCTTTTTTTTCAGTTTTTGTTATTTGATAGAGATTTTTCAGTATTGTGTATATTTTGTTGGTTAGAGGTTCACAGTTAGACAATGGTTAGGACTTGTGATAGTTTAGTATATGGTGCGAATGAAATTTTCCATGCAAGCCAAACATGATAACATACTTGTAGGAGTTTACCAAACAACAGAAATTGGTTTCTTTTCTGGAAAATTTTCTTTTCTTCAAAAGTTCATTTCCGTGAAACAACTAAGAGACAATTATATAACTCAAAAATTAAAAAAAAAAAAAAGAATACAACAAATATAAGATAAAAACTATATAGAACCATCCACAAGTAATTAAGGACCTTTAAGCATGTCAAATTTCAAATCCATCTGTAATCTTTTGAGACCTTTACAATATAAGGTTTGAAACCAGTTCACATGTTAAGCCATCAAAATCAATTTCATAGTTGTAACCAGTATTATCAATTCCATGTCAAAGCAAATAAAAACAGTTTACCATTTAGATCTGGAAATGTACGGAGTAAATCATTTGCTGAAAGCTGTTGCTGGAAAAAAATTTCCCAAAGCTCATGGTAACTAATCCCTAGTCTGTCCTATGATAATTTTCCTCTATGAAAAGTGTTTATAGTAACTATTGTGAACATGATATTCTAGTTCAATCACTTCGTAAATGGAGTAACTTATTTTATTTTTTGTCCCAGTAGATAAATTTCATAATACATCCCAAAAGAAAATGTTTGGTCCTCGGCTTTTGATTGACAACTCTTTTAGACATCTCAAAAGTGAAATTATTTTGGGAAAGAGGTTATAGATTACAGAAGACAAGGATCACATTTGACAAACCCTTCAAAAAGAAAAAGAATGAGCTCCACGAAAGCAATCTTTAACCTTGCCAAAGGTTTCATCTCATCAAGTCACTTGGAAAATTGACATTGTTATACAGGATATACTACTATACATTCCAAAGGTAATAATACCCTAGAATGATTCAATCTGATATATCCGCAGACCGCGGAAAAAGTCCATAAACACTTCTTAGATAAAATTCCATAAGAAAGGTAATTTGAATGCCAAAGAGATCTTCAATTCAAAGAAATGCCATCAAGACGGTGGTTAGCTATGACTAATTGACGCTAATAGTGGAAGATCATTGAAAAACTATTAAGTGGTTGTACTCAACATACTTGCCAATATTTTAATCTAATAAAGACTCTCTTCTTAGCAGCAGAGAATGTTAAAATGCCCTCATTTCTAATTATGCACTTGGAATCACAAAGCTGAAAGGAAATAAATAAACAAAAACAGCTATTGCTTGTAAGCAGAACTTACAGAGCGCAAGTCCCAACCAAGCAATTTCCCAAATACTGAAGCTTTCCGTATTCTCTCCTTCTTCAACTCCCAAAGTTCACCAGATAATGCATCACCAGCTTTAGGCATACCCCCATTAGCCTATTGGAGATTTACAAAGTTTCAGAAACAAAAAAGAGACTCAGAAATATAAAAAGGTTTTAAGTAACACCAATATTCACCCTTGGTTGTGCATCAGATGAATCCTGACCGGCCCCTTTCAGAGGGAGTCCAGGAGGTGCTTCTCCCTTTGCAGCAGCTGCCTGCACAACAATTTTATGTTTCAATAATAGTGTCTAAAATGGAACACAAATCACATAAATTTATAGAAGGAAACTCATTTCAAAGATATAGAAGCCAGTGGACAGAATACAAAACATTTCTTCCACTATTAAACTTGATACTTCTGAGCATAAATTGAATGTGCTCAAAGAAAATAAGCATCTATGGAAATTTTTTACCACAATGACAATAAAACCATGATGTATGACAAGAAGAAACACCTCTAGACAACGGTTTATTAAATTGTTACAGGCAAGAGCAATCATAAATTCAATATTTAACTTGAAATCAACACATAGGAATGAAAACGCTACTCGTTCCAGCATATGCCAAACATATTTTAATATATTCTCAGAGGAATTCTTGTTTTACACATCTATATCTGACACATTTTTTGCTTCATAGATGCTCATAACCAATCTAAGCTAGACAATTTAACAACCCCAACATCTACGACTAAAAGAATTAAATTGTAAAAAACATGTTCTCAGGTGTTCCATGTAAATCATGTTGTCACTGATGAAACGATCATGCTTTCATGTTGAAGTGGGATGCGACATCAAATGGGCCTTTAGATTGATAAGTAATTGAGCATGAGGTCAAACAAACTAAAAAATTGCCACAAATTAGAATGTAGTTAAAACCTTGCTCACTTCTAAGACTTAAAGAACTACAAATCTGCAAACAAAAAGATAAACATAATCTAGCAAAACTAAACAACACATTAGATGTAAAAATTTATCAAGTTTATGTATCTAGGTATCTGCATTGACAAACCCTTAAAAAGTTTTACCCACACACTCAAAATATATAGGTTAATACCTCAACCATTATCAAAAATAATGTCAACTACACAATCAGGCGGCACCTTTACTTCAATGCAGATACGCACATAAAAGTTTATAGGCTTAATATGTTAACTATGATAGAATAATGTCATCTACTTCAAATGTATAATCAAATGTCCACCTTAACTTCCTCTATGGCAACTGTACTTGGAACACGGCGGTGCTCCTTCCGACGTGTTGCACCTTGACCCTCAATGTCTTTCATTCGGAGCCCAGGATCTGCTGTTAGCACCACCCTTACCAACTCCAAATCACTAGCACGTGCAGCTTTTAGTTTTTGAGTTATATCTTGTCCACCCTGAACTGAAACAGCACTCAAATTGCTACAACACATGCCAGACTGTAAATCAGGTGCTTCAACACTACCTGATTGCCCGACTGATCGCTTTTCGAGAGAAAAACTCACATTGACAAATTTCACTTTTGCCTCAGACATATGTGTCATTGCTTGGTCAATGGCTTGAGCAGTGGAACTTGACATCCTATCACTACTATTACGATACACCTCCTGAGCAGTCCATAAAGGATAAGCCCATGGAGGAGGCTTTGGCAATAATGCATCACCATTTGCTAGAGGAATTCCTCCTCTAGAGAGCTTCTGAGCATTAGATGTGTCCTTTGTACTGCCAAAATAAGTTTCATGAAAAGGATTAAGAAACCACACTAAGTTCACTTGAGTTATGTATATGTTTTCTACAATAAATTGAAAAAACTGAGACTGCATCTGAGTAATACAAACAATGGACTCAAAGCTTACCTTGGCAATTCACTTTTCAAAACTTCAACGCAGATGAGAAATGGTGCTTTTTCCCTAGAATTCAAAAGAACAGCTTCATCTTCAGGTATATGAACCACACGATACAGCCCTTTTCCCATTGGAAAGCAAACTCCTAAAAATATTCCCGGCAATACTCAAATAAGGGTATGGAGCAATATATCACAAGCACAATCGAGTTCACTTAATATATCAAAAATAACAATAAAAGTGCAGGGTAACTGCCAATAACTAATGTCGAAAATTCATCATAAGCGAAAACAAGCCTCTCAAAAGATTGAATAGCATAATAACTCAAAGAAGAAAAAGAAAAATATATTTTACGTGGTAAATTTCATTGACAAATATGAAAGCTTAATATTGACTTTGCATCACCAAATTACTAACAAGTCACAGAACCCAACAGACCTTGCTATTTTTGGGTTGGGTCCAACTGAAGGCAATTCATTTGGGAGACAGGTTGGTTAAGCGGTTTAGCCACCTTACTCAGGACCCAACCCGTGTTAACACAGCTTGGGTTGCATCAATTCTTGAGTTTTTCTTCTCTTTCTTCTTAAAGTAACAAAAAGAAAAAAAAATGAATAAATTCTTCTAATTTTATTTCCAAAATTAGATTAATTACTTATACATTGTAATTTGATTGAATCCAAGTATAAGTATTACTGTATTAAAATATTGAAAAATGATAAAAAAAATTCTTCAAAGAAATTTGTATAGAAAAATTATCATCACATAAGAGAGTTCATAGTAATTTCTTTACTATAAAGTTGTATTATTGCTAAGAGGTGATTAAATCATATTAAATAAAAATTTTAGGGGATAAAAAAGTAAATTTAAAATTTTTTTCTTAATTAATATAAAGTGAAAAATAAGCCAAGTCAGATGGGATTGCCTGCAGGTTGAACCATGATTCAACCCAGGCCGACCCAACCCTACCCACATTGTCAAGGAACCGAGATAGAACTGAGTATTAAAGGACCCAACACAACCTGATCTGAACTAGCCGGATCAGGTCGGTTCTCAATTTTGCCCAACCCAAGTTGCACCTCTAATTTTAGATATCACGTGTTCATAACCAATATCAACATAAGTAGAAACCCACATATGTCCAGTCATTTACAGTCTGTTTCTTTTTTTAATGAAAGAAATAGCTGTACTAAGAAAGAAAGAATGGTACAACAAAAGATTAAAAAAAGATAAGAAAATATTTCAGAACAGAAAAATAAATTGCTTCCAACTAAATGAAATACTTCACACATCAGTTAAATAATGTATTCACGTGACAGCAGATTGCGAAGAAACATTATAGAAATTAGAGGCTGGACGCTAAAACTAAATTTCAACTTCAGCGGAAATTTCTAGCACTCCAACTCTCAAATAATAATAGCAACAACATCTCAAATATGTTACAGAGATTTCCTCTTTAATGGACGGACTATGCAACAGAAACATTGTCAACAGCACCAGTAAAAAATTACCCCTTTTCAAAGGACCATATAGATATTCTCAGAGATGATATAATAACTAAAAACTATGAAAAAGATTAAAATCTCACCAAAAAAGGTTTTAAGAAGTCATAATCAGACTAACACTAGTAAACAAGATACTGGTAATCCTAGTCACAAATTGAGAATTCGGACCACTTTGGGAAATCATAAGTAAACTTATTAAATATAATAAATGGTGCCTCTCAATTGCCATTGCTTTAATCAAATTCATCACAAATAAATATGTACCTCCATTATTTTGGGCGTCAGCTACATGCGAATTAATCTCTGCAAGTGACTAGAGATACAAAAATGACAAGAAAAAAATAACATGTTAGATAACATCCTAACAGAATATTTCATAACACTTAATTGAAGCATTAATAAAACTTTGGAAATGTGCAATCCACCTCACGGAGAGCAGTCTTGCGATCTTCAATTGGAAAAACATCCACCAAGCCATATGATGTGTCACATAATGATGATACAAATTCCAAAGAATCATGATAAGCCCCCTTTCGAAATTGTGATACAGAATTATTTGGAAGCGGAGGTTTGGCATTTGACCTATCATTCTGTTGCTTAGGTGAAGCAAGGCGCTTCTGCCAAATTAAGGTCACAGAAAATTAACATAAATGACTGGAGGCACATATCAAGTAAACAACACTAATAACAAAAGATTAAAGAGCAGAGAAATCATAAGAAACAAACCACCAGCAAATATCCTTGCTTCAAATCCTTCTCCGAATAAAGAAAGGAAGTTTTCCCACCATCAAAAACCTTTAAGATATTCTTTATGATATTTTCCATCATTTAGTTATACCATTTCATGCACAACATTCAAACAAAACTTCCAGTATATAAGTACAGAAATTAATTTACTTCAGAGGAAAAATAAATAAATTAAACCACAAACTAGAATACCATCACTTATATTTATGCTCTTTTTGGACATCTTAGGATTCTACAACTTTCATGCTCTTCTTCAATGTAATTCAGCTTATTATTTACTACAGGAGACAATATTTATTTTCTTACCTATGTGAATCTATTTCATCAAGTTCCAATACTATAATAAGTGCATGCTCTGCATCAAAGTTCTGAGTAGGCCTAAAAGTCGGTACATCCAAGCCAAAATAATCCAAAAACAAACCACACAGATTTCAAATTTTATCTATCCCACTGACCAGAAAGCAAAACAATCTGATCCATCCGAAGTCCCCTTGTGTTCTTAAGTAAGAGGCATCTTCCACAACCTTTTCCAATAATGACATACGAAAATGTGTTTATGACAGTACAAGACATCCAGACTTTAAAAACCAGAAATTCTAAAACCAATTTGAGCACAGAGGCAGACATACCAATAACCAAGCAATATAACAGGAAAGAAAGGAAAAGAAAGAAGACTCAAAAGCCTTGATATCCAAGCCAAACTAATAAGAAAGGAGTTAGTAGTTCACAACTTCAGATACAATCATCATGGTTACTACAATAAATTCTCATTTTCCATCCTCTCTGCCCAGTACATAAACCATATTAAACTAACCTTAATCAAAGGCAATTATTTCTGAACCAATCTACACATCTATGGTCAATAAAGCTTTGCACTCCTTTGTGATAAGAATCAGATGTCAGGCAAAAGGGGAAAGGGTAAAGGCTCTTAAACTCCATAACTAGATAGACTGAAGGACAGGCAGAAGAGAATATTTCCTGGATCAATCAATTCGTCTAGTTCTATTATGGTAACCACAAAATTACTTATGTGGCAGAAGCTGTTCTTTGTCCAAATAATTCTTTATGAAAATATAGCAATGGCGAAAGGGATAAAACTTCAGTACACAAGACTCAAACAACAGAATAACTATATAGGAACAAAAATAGATAAACACAAATATACAAATCAAGAAAAGATGAGGAAAATAGAAGTGGTATAGATCAACATCCAATTAATACTCCTATCTTTGGACCAAATCAGGTAAATTCACCATCCAGCGAATGTTATCTTCCATTCATGGCACACCAAATAAAGGACACACAAATATTAAAAATGTCAAAAAGAGCTTCAAATGGATAATCTTTCTGAAGTATAAATACAGAGGAGGAGAAATTCTGTGCATGGGCAGATTTAACAAACATTCATTGTAGGATTGAGTAGAACAGTTACAGGCAAAGCAGAGGTTAACTTTGTGTACTCAGATTCCAATCTCAAAGACAGCAGTGTTCAACCATCACTTAATCAATAAAAGCTTTATAGTTTATTGGATTACAATACTAGATGATATTCCATTGGAAGTTGTCATATAAGCTAAATAAGAGGGAAGAACCATACAGAAAACTAATTTAGGATAAATATCCTACTCTTGCAGTCATCGCAAACAACAAAGTAATAACAGTTCATGCCACTTTAAGGATACCTAGAAGCAAGATAATGGGTGTGTGAATCATGCATGCTCTGGAGTGATTATTAGCCTAAGGATCTCCGATTTCATCCATCTGAAAGAACTAAAAGACCTATAAAAACATTAGAAAAGGTTGAAAAAAGACTTACAACACTAGGAATTATGAATGGAAAACATTTTAAAAAACCTAGGAAGACTGAGATACAATTGGAAGACCACCTTCCGTGTTTAAGCATATGGTAAGATTCATAATGATTATGCATAGATAGGTTGGCAACTAGAGTGCAAATGGTAGAATCAAAAAGGTTACTATACACTATTTTTCCAATTGTGACTACAACAATGAAACACAATCTGATATTTATCTTTGAAATGTGTAATGAAAAGTATTGCATCACATTAAAGAACATCTACATAATAGGATTAAGTAAACTAGTTCAAGGGGTTATATAATTCAGGAATTTTGGACTGATTAATGTGACACTGAAAGTTATCAGATTTCACTTCAAAGTTCAAACAATTCCAGTAAATTATGAGTGCATAAGTAGGAGGTTCAAGCAAAGGATTAAAATGAAGGACAGACCTCAAAGCATGCAGGTAACATCTCAACAAAAATAAAAGTGCACAAACCTCTTTATGCTTCTTTGAACTGAACAGCTCCGAATCTTCAATTGAACGATCCCGGTCCCTAAAAAGTTTGCGGAAGAAGTTCTCAGTCCCTGGACTGCTCTCAAACAAACCACCACTATTGCTGCTTTCATTTGCCATACTAGTTTTATTCTCTTCGGGATGCACTCGGAACAGTCTCCTGAAGAGCGAGAAATCTGAAGATTCTTCTTCCTCACCATCATCATTCTTATCATTCCCATCTTTCTTGTCCTCAAATTTATCCTTAAAAAGTTTCCGAAAAAAACCCTCCTTTTCATCATCTTCAGCAGATTTTGAAAATTTTTCCCCCCGGTCACCATTCACATTCCCATCATCAATTTTGTCATTCCCATCTTTCTTGTCTTCAAATTTATCCTTAAAAAATTTCCGGAAAAACCCCTCTTTTTCATCATCTTCAGCTGGTTTTGAAGCTTTTTCTACAGAGTTCACCATATGTACATCATCAATTCTATCACTCACATCTTTCTTATCCTCAATTTTATCTTTAAATAACTTCTTAAAGAATCCCTCTTTCTCATCATCTTCCACTGGCTTAGAAACCGATTTATCATCAGAATCACTCCTACTATCTCGAAACAACCTCTTAAAAAATCCTTCAGAACTTGAAGTCGTTTCTTCCTCCTCTCCTCTACTATCCCTTAAAAGCCTCTTAAAAAACCTGTCTGAGCTCAATGTCATCTCCTCATCCTCTCCGCCTCTGCTGTCCCTCAAAAGCCTCTTGAAAAACCCATCCTTTTCATTCTCCTCTTCATCTTTCTCAGCTGACTTCCTAAACAACAAGGCATCTCTAACTTTTGAACCTGGAATAAACTTTTTAAAGATCTTATTCTCTTCTGGAGACAATAATTGATTACCACCATCCTCCTGCAAATGGTTCCCAGAAGATGGGGAGAAGGACAATGATCTCTGGCTAGGAGGAGAAGATGTCAATGACAAAAACCGTTGTTTCGATGATAGGATTCGATTCAAAACTTGGTTTTTACTCCCTGGACTTGAACCTGCATTTGGTGGTGGCACAAGGGGCGGCCACTCACCCATCAAAGTAGCGGAAATTTGACACTTTTCTTGAATCCTACTAATGCCTTCATTATCATCCAAATCCTCTAACTCAGCCAACAAAAACCAATGCACCTTCATTGCCATTTTTAGTGATTTCGAGCACATGTCAATAACGAACTTATCCAATGAAGGGCTCGGCTTATGAACCATCATGTAACAAATCTGGAACAGATAGCTTTCAATTCCAGATAACGGAAGCGTGTACATTCTGTTACAGAGGTAATCTCGTACCCCGGCATGATCATGCTTGTAAAGATAGCTAACTGCAATCCACTCACAGAAAAACGCCGAGTCAAAGAATCTGATGAGCCATCCGTTTTCACCTGACTCACTCGTTAGAGGAGTCCTCGAGGTGGTGATTTCGCGAGGTGACTCGTCCGATTCTCCTCGACTCAATCCTAGAAACCTCACCATCGTTACCAATCTACCATCATAAAACCCTAATTTCTCTCTCTAGTTTGGAAAGATCGAAACCAAATCATTAAGTAGATATTTTTGAAATCTAATATAAAACCCTAGAATCTTCTAAAACCTTCCAATGAAAACCCTAATTCCCTCTCACCTGAGATAATTCGGAAGCGCTTCGCGAATCCAAAATCGGAAATGCTCTCACTGTTGAAGCCCTTTCAGAAATCGCAGTGGTTGAAGCGGAAACCCTAATTCGGAGGTGTGAAATACAGAAGAGTAGAATTGATAGTGTTTTTTGAGCTGTTTGATAGTCGGGAAAAGAGGGGAAAATAAGAGAAAGTTTGAAAAAGGTGATTTTTTGTTTTCAATTAGAGAAAGAGAGAATTATGGATTTTTAGTTTTACAGCGTATAATAAAATAGAAATCTGAATTTTGTGTGATAAGGAAGGAAGAAGGTGAGGATGGATTGTTTTGGAAACGATGACGAGATAGTGGCGGACGTGGTGGCGATGCAGGCGGTGGTGGCCTTCTTTGTTGTTGTTGGAGAAGCAAAGGCTATGGCGAGGTAATTAAGTTTATTTTTAGTAAGTATTTTATTTATTTATTGTTTACTTTTATTTTTTTTAAGTATAATAAAAATATATATTTTCAAGACAAGGGTTTTGCTAACTTGAACGGGGAAAATAGCAGCGCATTTTATGAAATTTCATTTCCTTCCCCCCCCCCCCCCCTTTTCTCCCTCACTCCCTCGAAGGAAAGAAATAAAGTGTTCCTTTTTAAGCTGGGGGAGGATCTGAGCATGTCAAAATATTCCAGAAAAAAAAAACTGATTTGAACCGTGATTTGGATTAAATTTTTTATAATATATTTGATTCTATTTTCATTTGAAATAAAAAATATAAATAAATCAATTGTCAATTAATATATTTTTATCCAAATAAAAATTATATATTTCAAGAATGAAGTTGAAAAGAAATTGAAAGAAAATGTACATGGTAAAATTAAAAGTGAAAAATTACATGAAAAAAAAATTGAGAAAAAAAATTTTGATATTTGATTGAAATTTTGAAATTTTATTAAGCAAGTTAGAAAATTAATTGATTTTTTTTTTAAATTCACATGATGATTGTGATTTAATATTTGTGATAAATCTCTTGATTTTAAAAATTTATAAATAATGATGGGTGAATATAACAAATCCACAAAATAGCATTATAATTTTAATTTCTGTTAAATTAGAATGCACAAATTAAGTTATGGAATCACAAAAATAAATAAAATAATTAAAATGTACATAGGAAGAAGATTTTCAGCAAGGAGGAGATCAGATTAGTATAAATACACAAAATTGAAGACCAAAAGGGAATGGATTTTAGTGCAGATTTGGGTGCTGTTCTGCAAAATTTGAATGTAAAATTAGAAATATCAAAAGTACTATTTTAATGGAGACCATGTCCAAGAAAGGGAGGTACATTACCTGATCATCAGGGTTTCATTTCACAGTTTAAGATCAGATTTAACATTGTGAAATCCAGAAAGTAGTTTTACAATGCGACGAGTGCTGTGTTTGTGATATGGATTGATGCAGAATTCCAGGATGATAGGGCAGATTGCATTGCAAAAGACCAGAAAAGTGTTGGCAGCCATTAGATAAATTAATAGTAGCTTTTTGGCTGTCTGATACGAAAATTATAGAACAGTTATTGTATTGGTAGAAAACAACAATTTCATTTATCTTATAGAAACTTTCATGGCATTTACAACAGATGGTTGCAGGCATATTGATGGGTTTTTCTGAGACAAAATAAGCGGACACAACCGAATTTCTGTCCCAGATTGAAATGCCCAAAGACCTAGAGGAATTAGATTTCTTCATCTATATTTTGGAGGATATGGGAATGCAAATAAATGCACAATGAACTCTGCTATATTCTTCATTCAATCAGATGACAACTTCAACCATGAATCCAGTATTTGATTGACATGGCAGGTTTCTCATGCTTCTCTGCCGAAACTTGTTATCTCTGGACTCAAACAGATTTTTATTAATCAGATTTCTTGTACACATTAGCAATTTAATAACATGAATATTGAGTTTTTATTAATTAAACTATGCCTTGAACACTAAACAAACTAAACATAAGCCTTTAACAGGGCTTAACAAATTCCCCAACAACACATAAATCTCAAGTTCTAGACTAGTCTATATTGTGGGAGAACTTGAATCTCTGCATTTGATAGATCCGCCTGAGCTCCTTTGCCACATCAGTTATTGTTGGCCTATCTCCTGGTGATTCACAAATGCAGTTCATGGCAAGTACTTTAAAAGCTTCTACTTGCCGCTCTTTCTCCTCCAACATCTCCTCTCTGAAAATCATTGGATCCAAAATGTCATTGAAGTTATTGTTATGTACATATTTTTTCACATAATCTGCTAAATAGATTCTTTTATTGTTTTCAAGATGGTCGTTGCAGATTTCTTTTTGTCCTGTCAAAAGTATTAGCAGAACAATACCAAAAGAGCAAACATCCTGCTTAGCCATATACTCAGCTGTAGAAAGTCCCATTATTCCTTCCATTCCATCTTTCATATCCATTTCATCATCAGAAACTGCATAACACACTGAGAAATCTGATAGTTTGGCAGTACAATGTTCACTCAGGTGTATATTTAAGCAGTGGATATTTCTATGGACAATAGGCCTGCGGAATGAATTGTGGAGATAAGTTACCACATTGGCAATGTCCATTGCAATTTTTAATCTACATCCCCACGATAAAGGCTGAACATGACAATTATTGTTCTTACTAGAAATTTGATCATCAAGATTTCCTCTCTCCGCAAATTCGAATACTAAAGTAGGAACTTTAGTCTCTAAGCAGCATCCCAGTAATTTCAACACATTCTTATGGATACTCATCAGTGATGCAATCACGATCTCATTGAACACAACTTCGCTTCGTTGAAAGTTGCCTTTAAACTTCTTAATGAGCACAGGTTGGTCTCTCAGAAAACCTTTGTAGAACTTGTAAAATCCATTCTCATGTAAAAGTTGTCTCAGGTCATAGTTATTTGTTGCTCTCTTGAGCTCCTTGGCAGAGAAGCCACAAATAGGATTACATTTACCATTACAAAAGGCAATGAGCTGCTGTAATAATATGCTTCCATTCCTTATGAATGCTTTCTCTTCTTTTGATTTCAACGTAGCCCTAATCCTGAAACACATAGTCATCCTACCTGCCCACACAGTTTAAATTAATAGCATTCTGATTTAGATCTAAAGTCTCGTGCAGAAATATTTTCAACTACTTTAATTTGTTGGAATTTAAACCTTATACTGAAAAAAAAAAAAAAAAAAAACAAAGGATTCGAAAGGAAACTGCACCAAGAAGATCATGTCAAACATATCCCATGAAGAACTTTACCTGCTAGCTGGATCCTCCCTGAACTTTTATTGTAACTCAGCATTAAAATGATAACTTTCTCTGTTTTCCACCCCACATATAAACCATGAACCGCAGCAGAAATAAACACAAGACTACAACTAGATACAGACCAAATTTCAAATTTTTGATTCTTAGTTCTTAATCAACATCAAAACACGAACAGAGAACGAGATAAAATCATAGAATGAACAACATATAACAGACATAAGGTTTTAATATTAAGAACAAATATTTAGCAAAAAATAGGGACAAAAAAACAAATAGATAGAATGAATATACTGCAGAGCTTAAGCCACATATTGCAGAATTATGAGCTTGTGTCTGTCTGTCTAATCCATAAGAGGGATAGGGAGAGAGTACCTCTAAAAGATTGGTCTCTGCGAATAGATGGGATCTTGCAAAGTGATTTACAATTCAGTGAAATGATCTGTAGCAGGTAAAACCAAGTTGAACTTGAAGAATTGTTGCCGGTCAAGGTTTTTTTTAAAGGTATAGTCCAAGTCTATTGAATATCAAAAAGAAAAGACAAGTCAATCATGAATTACCCCTTTTCTTACTCTCACCAACTAGGTAGCCCTTCTTCAACAAGGATTTTGACACTTTTCCCACTCTGCAAAAGTTCACTTTTTTTTTGCAAAAAATGCCGTGAGTAGAGATTTGAATGATTAAAATAATAAAAAAAATGTTTGAATTTTATTACTCTACTTAAATAAGTATTTATATTTTTATTATATCTAAATAAATTCTTAAATTTTAATTTACTTTTAAATAAATCTTTAACATTTAATTTGTACTTAAATAAAATTTTAATATAAATTAATTTTTTTAAATAAAAATTTATTTGTATACAAATTAAAAAATAAAAATTTATTTAGATACAATAAAAAAATATAGACTTGCTTAAGAAAAATAAAATAGTTCAAGGGCTTTTTTAACATTTTAATCAATTTAAATCCTATAGTTACGATATGCTAACTCTTAAAAATAACTATATAAAATAATTGAGTTAATTCAATGTATAAAAGAATTGAAGTGGGAATAATTGTAATAAATTCTTATGGAAGTACGGTTTCAAGAAGTGGAGAATAAGACCAATGTCATATTCTACATTAACTTATAAAATATTATCAATTTTAGTCCATTAAATTTCATAATTTTATTTTAATTTTATCTCATAAAAAATATTTTAAAAATTAAAAATAATATAAATATTTATATTCGAAAACCAACTCTAATAATGTAAGATTTATGACCCTTGTCTAATATCAGGGCAACCAAGCATAAAATGAATGGTGGCTGAGGCCTTAGCAGTCCCAAAAAAAAGTCAAATTGGCTGTAAATGAGAAATATTGGGTGATATTTGAAATGGACTTTCAGATTGTACATTCTCAGCTAACAAGTGACGAGGGAACTAAGAAATGGAGAGTAACAAGGCTCATCATCGATGACATTATTTCTCAGTTTAATTCCAGAAAAGAAGCTTTCCGTTGTGAGAAGAAATGGTAATAGAGCAGCTGACAGGGTGGCAGCCCAATCTGAGATGTGGGACAACCTCCATCCTCATTGGTGATGATTCACCTGCTCCACAGTAAATGGAAGAATGTAGCAGGAAGTACATGAGCTATTTTTTTTAAGCAGAAATGGTTTCCTGGGTTTTGTTCGGTAATTTTTTTAATGGATCCGGACAAATTTATTTACGTAAGATTTAACAAAATCATACACAAATTAGAGATAGTATATGTATTCTAGTTGACATGCATCTGAACTTGTTGCTTTGTCAAGAATATTCATCTTTGTTTCAGACACAATTCCATTGAAGTTATCGTTAAATCTTGATTTATCTTTACATAGTCATAATTTTAATTTATTTTATAGTAAAAAAAATTATAAAAATTTTTTAAGCTAATAAAACTTAAATTAAGAGGGAAATTGTAGTTTTATAAAAAAATAATAATAAATTTCTACTGAGCGTAAAATTAAATCCACTATAGACAGGAATCTACTGCATTAAAAGGTACCATTATCTAACTAATACATCCAACCAAATCCTACCATGTCGAAATCCCTCCAAAATTTATGATTAATAAATCATTTTCTTTACTCCCATTAGTAACTTTTGATTGGATGCGACAATATTTTCTTTTGTCCTCTCCTTTTTTCATTTTTTTTTTTTAATTTGAGAGACGCATGCATAATTAACCCAATTTCTTTGTTCGATTTTGTTTTCCAACATTTGATATCCAATCTCCAATCAAGTAGGAAAATTTGTGTGACTCAAATGTAAAAACAGTGAAAGACCAAAACATACCTTATATAGGGCCAAAGATGTCGATTTAGGAAATTTAAAGAAAATAAAGTAGAGCTGGGCATAAATATTTTAGAAATCCAAGCCCAATCTCCGCTTTCTCTGGGATCTCTCCTCCCTCTTCTGCCATTTTAAAAACCTTTTAAGAAATTTTATTTTAAAATTTTTTTATTTTTTAATAAAAATATCACGTAATAATCTCATATCATATAACAATCATGTGCCATCCACTTTAATATTAAAGATTGGGCAACTTAATACACAAAAATAAAATTTAAATACTTAATTAAAATTTTTTGTTTAAGTATCATATTAAAAAAAGTACAAAAATTTAAAAATCAAATGAGGTATTATCACTTTTCATTTTTTCTCTCCTTTCCCTTATCTCCATTGAGATTTTATTAAAAATTTGATAATTTTAATTTTTGAATATTAAGTTCAAGTTATTATTTGGGTAGTATAAATCTCACATTTTAATTTATGTTAAAATTCTTTTGAATTTAAATTATCCCAAGTTTAAATCATTTGAAATATGAATTCTTTCTTGTATGACTCTTTTAACTTTTGAGTCTATACAACCTAATTGAGTTTGGCTTTAAATTTTTGGGACAGATTTTTATATTTGGATTAATTTTATCTATGGCTTATTTTCTATTTATGATAGATGTCAATAAAGGTTTTTTTTATTATTATTTTAATGCCTTCCTCTTGTAAATAAATCATTATGATGTCCTCCAATGCATTTAGTTCTAATTAGACATCCTTTTTAGTCATCCCATTTATAATCATATAAAGATAAGAATAAAGTACATGATTATTCTTAACTTTTAATAAAGCTACACTTTAATCTCTAATCTCTCGGTTATTTCTTAAAATTTAAATTTTAATCTTTTAGTATTTTTTTATGTAATTATAAATATGAAATACAATAATAAAATATTATATCATATCTAATAAATCATTAAATAATGAAATAAATTAATTAATCAACAAATCAAAATATAATTAAATAAATTCAACATAAATTATGTTAAATTTATATATTAAAACTTAAATCTCAAATTTTAAGGTTCTAAAACCTCTTTTTATCGTTAAGCCAATGCATCATTAGCAACATTTTAGTCAAATGTTAAAAAATTATTGTTTCATTTGATAATAATGATATTAGTTTCATTCATATTACATATTGATAGAGTTTTTGTATAGACGGCATTATAAATAAATTGCTTCCCATATAGAGCCAACAAAGCATATCAATAAATGATTGATTTAATTAATTAAGGTTCATCTTATTCGATAAAGAAGTTTTAGGTTCGAATCTTTATGATGGTTATTTGTTGAAATCATTTCGAATATAAAACTTACAATCACTTATTTTAAATCATTAAGTACGTAATATCTTATCCTAATCTAAGAGATTAAACAAATTATTCACTTTGAATTTTTGAAAAAATAAAAATAAAACAAAACAAAGCATATCAAAAGAGCATACAAAATGTTGTTTTCAAGAATAAGATTTATTTCTTTTGAAATTTTGGAAAAAACAATGTTTCCTGTCGACTTATTTCGAATCAATCTAATTAATAATTTTTTCTCAATTTTCAATTGAGAAAGTGGAATAATTTTTTTTAGAAAACACATTGCTATGGATAATACAAAAGGATTTATATTATGTATAAAATTGAAATTGAAATTTTATATTTATGAAAAAAGATTTTTAAATAATTACATAAACTATTCCAACTAAACATTGAATTCCAAAAGTGCAATATTGGCTTTTACTTTAATAATTCTCAGTCTATGGTCGAATATAAAAACAAAGCCATGACATGAAGTAATGAACAATAATTGTTGGTTGTGTCAATTATTCTTGTCTTGTGCACAACACATTTTTTGTTGGAATGCTTTTTATTCTCCAAATATTCTTCCACATTGTAGCTAACAAAACAAAGAGCTTTGTTAAATACACAACTAAAATTTAATCATGAAAACAAGCACCACTTTCTAATTATATATCTAATTGGTGCTTTTGACACTTTGGTGCAAGAAATCCCAATTCCATGCTTGTACCATTAGAGAGTGATACTTTTTATTTGCTTAAATTTAATTGATGCTCTTTTATCTTTCTTGGCAACAAATTAAATAGGTATCTTTACATGTGGATTATATAGGATAACAATTTTAACACTTTTTTTATGATATGGTCGATGATATTTATCTCCAAGTTAGGCTTGTTCGAATCTAATTTCATTTACGAATGATTTTAAGAGTGTATTTTTCAACATTAATCTAGTGTATTAATGACTACAATTAGAGTTAATTTAATATAATATAATTTTATTTTAAACTATAATTAGAATTAATGATTTTGATGAAAAAGGAAATGAAATGGTAAAAACATTTTACCTAATTTATGAATAGTAAAAAAAAGTGATTAACTTTTTGGTTTAATACTTAAAACAGTTTAAAAAATATGTAAAGTGAAAATTCGAATTCTATCGTCTTCATTTTCTATCTTGTAAAAAAAAAAGGTGATCATTGTTGAGTTATGGACGCCATTTGCATGTATAATCTCTACTTACGAAGAAATCAATAATAGAAAACATAAATGAAACTTAAAAAAAAAAAATGAAGGGTTAATTAGGAAAGCCTTATTGAGAATGTAATCTAATTACAATTTCCTTAAATTTTAAGAAAATTCATAGTTTACTCCTTGAAATTTTACACATTGATGTTGAGATGAAAATTTATTTCAAACGCTAATAAGTTTTTGGTTTAGTGGTAACAAAGAAATCCTAAAATTTTTAGATTTTAAGTTCAAATTCAAATGTGTATGAATTTAATTATTTAATTAAATTATAATTTATTAGTTGATAATATGAATATACTATTTGATTATAAGCATAACGATAGTAAAAAAAAAAAAAGAAAAAGAAAACTCCTCAGCAATCTAAAAATTTTAACATATATTAATTTTATAATTGCTAAACTTTTATTTCGATTTCATTTTATCATTATTTTGAATTGGTTCTATTTGGATCACTGACTTTTTAAAGAGAGCATTTATTGCAATTGTTGCATTAAAATAAATTAATTATAATTTAAAATTATATGAATTTTGTAGAATATTTTAATAAATTTTACACAATTTAAATTTATAATTAATTTATTATAAAAATTATAAGTAATATTATCGTAATGAAAGAATCAAACTAAAATAATGTTTACCGTACAAACTTTCGTTTTTTATAATACATAAAAATTTCAGATAAATAGATTAATTTAATCTCAATTAAAACATAAATTCTAAGAATTATGTCCCGCATTGAAAAATATAAAGACAGATGTACGATGAGATTTAACCCAATATCACTTAAGTAGTCTGGATCTGTCTTCACCGATTGATGATACCTTCTCTCACTATTACACAACCTCAAAAGAAAGAAGAAAAAAAAAGTAGTCGCATTGGCCATATGATAGCTTTTAGGTTAAGGAAGGAAAGCATGGTAGAATATTTCAAATTTGATAATTTTAAATATGTTACAATAATATAAAATATGAAAATATTAAAATTTAAAATTTTAATAAAAACTAAATTTATTATAAATAAAAAATTTTTCATGTTTGTTATATGGATGCAAATTATAATATAATAATTTTTATATTTTATATGTGTGAGATACAAAATAAATACAAGCAAATTCTATTATATATCCACAAATGTATTTCCAAACATGTTTCTTGAAAATAATTTTTTTTTACGAGAATATATCAATTATAATTTTTTTTATTATAATATTATAATTGTCTAATCTTAATACAAAGTTGTGTAAAATACATTATTATAAGTGTAAGCTTCACATAAATTTTTTTTTATAAATTTTATATAATTTTAAATTATAATGAGTTAATTATAATATAATAATTATAAATGAAATGCTAGCTCATTATACCTTTAAAAAATTGGCTCATTTTCTACATCCCTTAAATTAAAAAAAGAACTAACATATCTGAATTATCCAAAAAAAAATTTCTAAATATACCATAAAATTTTTTTTAAACACTTATTAATTTAAAAAAAAATACTCACATAGTAAATACTAATTTTAACCTTTAATAAATGATAAAAATCCATCAATAGTTTATGTACCAAATCCTTCTTTTAAATTCAACGATAAAGAGAATTATATTGCATTATTAGAAATGAGCTTTCAAGAATGTAATTATATTTTTTAAAATAAATTTTTAAAAATATAATATAATTCTTAAAAATTCATGAAAACTTAGGAAAATAGATTATGAAAAGACTTTAAACTTCTTGTACATTTACTTTTGATAAATTTGATTTTACTTAAATCTTATTGTAAATTTCTATCTATATTTATATAATTTCAACTACTATTCAATTAAAATAGATTGAAAATAAGATAAGAATATTTCTTTTAATCACTATAAAACTAAAATACATAGATGATTTGGAGTTAATTTGATGGATTTAAGTTTTTTTTTAATTGAAAAGTGAAGAGAGAAAAATGTAAAAAAATTAAAGATAAATCATTGAAAGTGAGGAATGGAGGGGTATTTAATAAAAATAAAAAATTGAATTTTAATTTCAGGAGATATTTAAAAACGAGGAGCATAGATATAGCGTGAATAGAAATTAAAAAAAAAAAAAAGGAGAAAACAACAATCCACGAAAATGATAAAACAAAATTTTTATATAGTTTCGTTTCTATTTTTCTCCGTCAGAAAACACAGAGCAAAAAGGAAAAAAAGAAAAGTGAGAGACAATGTTTGCACTCCGCTGCTTTCTTGATTCTCAACTCGGCTCCTGACTCGTTCTTCTCCTAACTTGGTTTTCTTTGACTCAGTTTTTAACTCGAGTCTTTTCACCATGGACGATCGTACTCGTCTGAGACATTGCTCTCGCCGCCGGTGGTGTTGCACGTTCAATGTGCCTCCGTCGAGTCCTGAAAACCCTCATTTGTCGCAGCATTACCGTAACAATAACAGCAACTGCAAAACCAAAGTCGGTCCACAAAAGGCTGACTTTCTCTCCAAACTCACAATCCCCAACTCTGTCCCCAACTCACCCCAAAGTTCAAAATCCGGGTTAACTCTAGTGAGTCGGATCGACCGGCGTAGGATCCTTTCACCCGGCCGAGTCTCCCCCATAGACCACAACGATTCCTTGGAAGAAGATCACCACTCTTCGCGCGCCACCCCATCCGCCGCCGCAGTTGATTCCATACCCAGACGATCGCGGAGTTTTCGGGCCAAAATAGAGAGCCCGGATACTCATCCGGGTGGGGATCAAGGTCGGGTGGAAGGAGGGAGAGTAGGAGCGTACGATGTGAGGCTGAATTTGAAAGGAAAAAATGGTGGGTTTTTGGTGCTGGAGCTGAATTCGGGTGTTTTGGCTTCGAATTCAGAAGTTTTTGCGGGTTTGATTGTTGCAGGTTCTTTGGGGAAGAGAATGTGTAGAATAGAGGTTCCTGAGGTGGAAAATTTAGGGGTTTTTAGAGAAACCCTTGAGCTTATGTTTGAAGAAGATATAGCCAAGAGGCTTGTCAAAATTGGGGTTTATAGAGCTATTGATATACTTGAGGTAAGCCCTCTTTTCTTTGATTTTCCAATAGTTTTGTAAATTTTGGTCTGTTTCTTTTTATCCTCTTGCATTGAAATATTTAGTATGTGTTGATATTATTGTTTAGGGAAAAGATAAACTGTTACAAGAAAATAAGAAGTTTTTATGTTCTGAAAAAAGACCAACATTTTCACAAATGGAAATTCATGAGTTCTTGTTAAATTCTAAGTTTTTCTTTTTCTTTTTAATATGCAAACTTTAAAGATTGATCAAGTCGAAGGGATGGGAATATATGAAACTGTGATTCTTTTATCATGTAGACGATCATTTTGATATGATATTTGCTGCTGGAAACCAATGACTTGGAAGTTATTAGTTGTTTTGTTGGTCGAACATCCTTTTAGATTTATAGGGATATCTTTGAGCATTGTTTCATGCCCTTATTTGACAAATCAAGGACTTTTAAACAGAAAGATGACAAAAAGTTATTTTCTCAGCATGCAAGTCTTGAATCAAGAATTCTTGTTCGAGGAGCTTTCTCTGGATTTTGGAGATTGTGAAGCTCATTTGGGAGAACTTTTTTATTGTTGTCTAGTTCTTTCTTTTCCTTTTTTGTCACTAATTGGTCTCTACTGCTCAATCTGCTGCTATGCCCCTACCTATTAACTGATATGAATATCATCCAGTGGAGAAGACACCGCACAAGTGTTTTGAGTAGAATTACACTGAAAAAAATGTTAGAGCATTCTGCTTTACTGATTTCAAGAGAATTTTTAAGTTAAAGAACATGAATTGGCAAACTAATTGTATGAAACGTTGTGTGTGTGTGTGTGTGTGTGTATATATATTTGCAAGGACCATCAATAAAGTAATTTTTGATACCTCATTTTTACATAAAACCCAAGAATACAGTAAACTTTGATAGCATTGCTAGAATTTCCATCCTCAAAAGTGTAAATATCCCAACAAGTAATTATTTCTCATTACTAAAATTTAATCCTATGGAAAATATAGAGTGCTTCTCTTTATGAAGGTTTATCAATGACATGTGCTAAGGTTTTTAAATGCCTTTAGGTGCCAACAGGAAAACAAACTTTTTCCTCCCACCCAATTGTTAGCGAATTAAGATTTTTATTTTATGAGTTGTGCTTCTTATCTCCAATTCGTGTTACTTTTATTATCTGGTCTATTCTTTCTTGCTGCAATTTTCTCTAGATGTCTTTGCATTTCCTCCTTTTCCAAAGCATGAAATCATAATCACCAATCATAATTGCTGAAGATCATTCTGGAAATTTCAGTTTTCCCTACAAAATCTATTGAATTGGTTCCTGTTTTTTGGTTTCAGAAGCTATTTCTCTCTAACTGTTACTGCCACCAATTCAAGCTTTATTTCAAGTGAAAAGCTTGATCCCCTTTTAGATATTACTATTTTTTTTCTTTAAAATACTGATATCATTTGAAATTGCAATCAGGTATCGGCGACCATTATGTTTAGCAGAGGTGTTTTGTCTTGTCTAAAGTACCTAGAAGCTGTTCCTTGGACTGAGGAAGAAGAAGAAAAATTAAGGAGCCTGTTTACAAGGTTCAAGTTTGATGACCCAACAAGTAGAGATATCTTGGGTAGACTATATTCTCAGCAATCAACAGATACCCACCAAAATTTATCCAGGCATCTTCTTTCATCCATCACCACCTGCTCTGATGCCAATGCAAGAAATGAGCTGAAGTCACTGGTGAAGGGTCTCCTCTGCAAAAGCTCAGTCTATGAGAAGGAGCAACCTGATGTCAACAAGGAGGATTTCTATGCTGTTTGCCAATCTTGTGTGAGTGTGCTAGTCAACCTCTTTGAGGAGGCCTCCGATGCTATACCCTATGAAAGAATGGCCCAAAAGGAGATGGGTAAGCCTCTAATTGAACGCATCTCCAGACAGGTGGATAATATCAATTGGCTGTTAGAGATCCTGCTTGATCGACAGATAGCGGAGGAATTTGTGGATCAGTGGGCCCATCAAGGGAATTTGCTTAAAATGCATGAGAGAGCATCTCCCATGGTTAGGTATGAGCTAAGCCGTGTTTCTGCAATTTTGTTCATTGCAATGGGTACAAGAAAACTGCACTGCCGTTCAGATGCCAGGTCAGCGCTTCTCCTAGCATGGTTTGGCCCAATGTTATTGGACTTTGGTTGGCTTCAAAGATGCAGAAAGGGGCTTGACATGAAGGCACTGGAGGAAGCTATGGGTCAAACCCTCCTTACACTTCCTTTGAAGCAACAGTATGTTCTGTTTATGGAGTGGTTCCGATGTTTCTCTATGCATGGCACTGAATGTCCTAATCTCAGCAAGGCCTTCCAGATTTGGTGGCGCAGATCTTTCCTTAGGGGCTCTGAAACATATGCCATTGAATCTAGGTAATTGAGTAATATTCTTTTAATATTGTTTCCCACTTGTGTGTGATATTGCGATAGCGTAGCATGAAAGATTCACAAACATCTGTAAGAAGTGAATAATGTAGAATCTATGTAGAATTGTTGTAATCACTTTAACCTGTAAGATGAAAATGGCATCCTATTTTCTGGGAAACGATGCTTGTCTTTTATATATGCCGACAAGGATGCCGTTGTCAAGTTAGAGAGAAGGAAATACAATAAGATGCAGGTTAAGACTAACCTAAAAACTACAGAAACTTCTTCTGGTTTCCAAGAATAGTGATCTTGAGGTGTTTTTATAGTAGAATTTATACTTTGTAGTTGATCAAAGGATCAAAGGTGCAAGGTTAGGAATGATATATGATTCATTTCATTTTAATTGGCATTGTCCCGATCTTACCAACTAAAAATAACAGAGATTTACAAGATTTAAAAGAGGCAGGATAGTTGGTATGGCTTAAGTGTATTATTCATTAGTGATTAATAGACACAGGTTCAAACATGTTTAAAACCATCAGAGAGTCGGTCCTTAGCTTAATTAGGGCAAGGATAATGTCGGCAAATTCACTTGAATCAAATATAGAGAAGAGTTGGGTTCCAATATCGTTTTCTCATATATATTAAGCCGATTTGAACTTGGAAGACGTCTTTTGTGGACTATCGTTTAACCTCCATTGACTTCGGATAAATGGCTCATAATCTTAAGTCATAATTGTACTTCTATTTTTATTTATGAGTTATTTTATGTATGTTTTATTCTTTTTTTTAACAAATCATTATATAAATGACGGACATCAACATAATTTTAACTTAAATTAATTAAATTTGATATTATTTTAATTACTTTTTACATGTATTTAATTGTATTATGATTTTTAATTTTATATATTTATAATTTATTGATGTATAAAAATTAATTTGCAAAAACTAGTTTGAGTTGTACTGTTAATAAGAAAATAACAAATGACTATATATATATATATATATGTTATTTTCTTTGGTAAGGAAATTCACTCTAGGAAAATTCTTTGACTCCATAAATGGGTTAATAAATGGACACATTAGTTTAAAAAAATGGGACATGAATAAATTTCTTAATCTTGTAAAATTTAAAATTTATATTCACTCTGATACTAACTTTATTATAGAATAATGCAATCATATATAATTTACAATATTATATTATAACATACATAAAAATTTGATAAGATTTATTTACATGAATACTTAAGTGGACAATCTATATTATTGATGCATAAGATATTTTTAAATAACTTTATTCAATCAATTATTTAATTTTTAAAAATTTCAAAGTTTCAAATTTTATATTTATCAAAATCTTTCAAAATATATAATATTTTTTAAATTTAAATCTAATAAAATATATCTTCTCATATCTCACTTTTATCCAAGTCAAATAGTTTTTAAAGGTTAAATCCTTACATCTTAAGAATCATAAAAAATTATATACCGTTTAAATCAATATTCACATAAATTTAAATAAATAAAGTTTGTGATTGAATCATTGTTATTTATCAATTTTTTGCCTTTATTTTCCTATAATTTAAAATAAAAAGAAAAATATTTTATCTCAATTTAAAATTACATGCATATCTAAATTTAAAATTATACTAATTTTTTATCTTAATTTAAAATTAAATTTAGATAAACTACATTTTTAAAATTTTAAAATTTTTTAAATTAAATAATTATCAAATATATATTTATGATTTCTTCTCACAATCAATATTTTTTTCTTTTCGCCATAAAAGTTTGACATGATAAAGTTTTAAAATTAAATATGAAAAAATCTTTCATGATATATCACATGTATAAATATTAATTTTTATACTATAATAATATATACTTTTAAAAGTGTATGTAATTGTGAATATGAGATTAACTTTCTTATTGGTATTTGTATATAATTTTACTTTCATAATTTAAAAATTTCATAATACTTATTTAGATTCATTCATAATACTTATTTAGATTCTTTCATAATAATTTATATATAGACGATTTTTGTAAGTTTAAACTACAAATTATAGATGATTATGAATATTTTTATTTATCTATATATAATATAAAAATTAGTATAAATTAAAATTTTAAATTATGAAAAATATAATAAAAAACTCTGTGCTAGTAAAAAAAACTAGTCTAATACATATTATATTATAACATATAAAGTTACATGATAAAAATTACTTATGTAGATGTTTAGGTAAATAATCTCTTTTAATGACACATAAGATAATGCTTATATTATTTTATTTATCAATAAATTTCTTTAATAAATTATTTAAATTTAATATTTGGATAATTATTTAAATTCAAATTAAAATCTATCTATGATTGAAAATTTTGCATAAATTTTGAATTCAAATATATTAAATCATAATTTATCTTTTTTCTTAAATTTAATCACAGTTCCAAATATATATACTTAATAAAATTTTATTTTCTACCAAATAATTTTATTTAATAAATTATTTAAATTTAATATTTTTAGATAATTATTTAAAATCAAATCAAAATCTATCAAAAATAAACATTTCTGACAAAAACTCCTTAAATCAATAAATAAAAAAATGTTATAAGTAATCCCTAAAAAATAAGTGCTAGGAAAGGGGTTCAAACATACCAATCTTATGATTAATAGTTATATGTTATAAACAACTGAAGTTACTTTAAAAAATTTTTTATATATTTATCTCTTAAATCTTATGAAATAATGAATATGAATTATTTAAGGCATTTTTTTATTAAAACACATTAAATAATACCCTTCCAAAAACCATTAAAGCGCTAAAGGGAGGGGTTAAAAACCTATGACTTTATCAAATTAAACTATATTGCGCTAATAACTGAGTTATTCTGGTTTTTATATTTTTATATCTTAAATTCTTATAAGTAATGAAAAAAATTATTTAAAATATTTTTGTAAAAAATTTATTAATTTTTTGTAAAAAATACATTATTTTTTGAAAGGTATTATTTAAGATGTTTTTTACCAAAACACCTTAAATAATCCCATCATATTTTTTAAATGGCATTTATGGAAAGAGCTTTTAGATAAAAAAATCTTAAATAATCATTTTAAAAAAATAAAAAGTGATTATTTAAGGCATTTCTCAATCAACAACTCATAAAATAATTTCTAATATTTTTTTTATTGATGACATTTTATAAATAAAAATAACAATCAAATAAAATATTTATCTTTTTTTTGTTTGCTGTTAAAGGCATAATTTCTAATTTTAAATACTTATTATTAATAAAAATTAATAAAAAATTATCATCATGTATGTTAAGGAGATTATAATAATTATTTAAGAATTAATATATATGAATTCTCTTTAACTAACGAGTAAATTTAAACACATGATGCTCTAAAAATAAAATAAAACTTTGAATATCATACATTTTTAGGAATAATATTTTTTTCAAAAATTTAAAATTTCGTGAACTAATCAACCTTAAATAAATGCATGTGGAGATGTGATTTAGAAATGTCATGTCAACTAGATATTTTTCTCGGTTATTATGTTAAGAAGGAAGGTAATTCAAAGGTGTTACGTCACCTCAAAATTTTGATGGTTTTTTACCTTTACTTTTTCCTCAAAATGCTTTCTTTTGTTATACCATAGACCTGAAAATTTCAAATACAATATAATGATACGATATAAAAATAATATAAAAAATTATATGTATTTTTAAAAAATATGTTTTGTATTTATTTATATCGATACTAATTTTTACATAATACAATTCATGTTATCTATGTGTTAATTTATCTAAATATATAAAATGATATGAATAATAAATTTAATTTAATTTTATCATAGAATACATGTTTAATATGTTTAATACGTTTATATATTTTTATATTTATTTTAATTTAATATAAACATATAAAAATTATTTTAATTTTTAATATTTTAATTATGATACTTAATTAACTATTTAATATCATATAAAAATTATTTTAAACATTTAATTATGATACTCATTTAATAATTATTATAAAATTATTTTTTATATTAATAATATAAATATTAATATTAGTCTTCTATATTATTATTTTATTTTTTAATATTTAATAGTTTATCATTTTAAATTTGATATTAAAAATTAATATATTTATATAATATAAATATAAATATATATATATTAAATACATATTAAATGAGAATTAAAATTTTTTAATTTTTTAAAATGTAAGTATTTTTTATATTATTAATATGTTAGATTTATTAAGTTGTAAAAGATGAATAGTTTATAATTACTTATTATTTTAATCATTTTTTTTATATATTCGTGTTAGTTGTGTCTATTTATATATATTCATATTAATTATGTCTATTCATATATATTTATATTATTCGTGTTTAAACGAATTAATTATATATATTAATTGTGTCATATTACATATAATACGTATATTAAACGTGATATATTTATATTTAAAATTTAAATATATTTTATAATTCGTGTCATATTCATAATTTAATAATTCATATAATTACATGTGTCAAACATGACACGAAATATTATACACAAATACAGATTGTCAGGTCTACTATATCCCCTTAATTATCATTCAAATACCATAAAATGCAACATTAGATTTAGGTATGACCGTGAGATGGAACCCAAATCAAATTATATGTTAATTGAGATAATTAAAAAAGGTTGCGATTCATTTATTGTTACTATTAAAAAAAATCTATTTAAAAAATATTTTTTAAAAGTATTATAAAACTTAATGTAAAAAGTTATGGTTTAAAAATTTTCAAACATTATTGTAAAAATTTATTTTGAAAATTTAAAATTTCTATAAAACCATAGGACATGATATTGAAAATTAAACTATTTTTATAAAAAATAAATAATGAAATAAATATTTGATCATTTTATTTTTAAATTATAAATTTTAATCCACACCTCTCAGTTAATTTGTACAATTAATAAATCTTTTAACTCAAATTATAATTATTTAGCATTATTTTTACATTAAAAACTGTTTTTTAAAACCAAACGCAATATTAAAGAAAAGCAAATGTCCCCAGCGTCAGCCTGGGCTCGGTAATGAACGGCCGTTATGTTTTCGAAACGGTGCATGGCCTTGTGTGCGACTGACACTTGGGGTGTCCACAGCATCTGTGGATCTATCCTTCACGTACAGATCACATGCACTGCCATGCTATTTTTTATTGCCATTATCCAATGCCCATGAATGGTGCTGTCATTTCTCTATTATAAACCAAAATGTTAAATGTCATGAATAATATTTAAATTACCGATGTATAATATAGTACTAAAATTAAAATTTTTTAAATATAATATTTAAATTATTAATTTAATTAATTAATATAATATTTAAAATATTATTTATTCGTTATGTATTATTTTTTAAAATTAATAATATTATATATAAATATCATATTAATTAATAAATTTATAATTTATGTATTAAATTAAAGATATTTAAAATTCAAACATAACATTAAATATTTTATTATAATTTAAAAATTATTTATGATATTTATTCTTAAAAAATTAATAAAAAAATTCAAAACTAAAAATATTATACTTAAAACATTGGAAAATTTTTTAAATTTAAAATAAGATTTTTTAAAAAAGTTTTAGTAGAAATTAAATATATAGAGAGAGAATTTTGGAGATACTTATT